CCAACGCCGCCTGCAACAGTTGCATGCAACATTAGCATGCAACACTGAGCGCGACACGTCTCCTGCTGCCTCAGCAGCTGCTGCTCCGCCGCCAACGACTCCTCCACCTTCATCTGGTCGACGGCCGCCAGCGCCGCCTGCAACAGTTGCATGCAACATTAGCATGCAACATTTGTGTGCAACATGCAACACTGAGCGCGACACGTCTCCTGCTATCTCAGCAGCAGTCAACGACTCCTCCACCGTCATCTGATCGACGGCCGCCAACGCTGCCTGCAACATTAGCGTGTCGACATGCTACATTGTGTGTGGGCGTGCAACATTAGCATGCAACATTACCGAGAGATTTCTCCATCTTCATTATAGTAGACGGCCTCCAACGCCGCCTGCAACATTGTGCGCAGGCTTGCAACATTATCGTGCAACATTAGTGCGCGGGCATGCAACATTATGTGCTTGCAACATTATCGTGCAACATTCGCAAGCAGCAGTGCCCTGCATGCAACATTCACGGACACAACACACGTGCACTTGCAAAGTTAAAGCGCCGGCTATTCACATGTAAAAAATGTTGCAGAAAATTGACGCACTTGTTGCACATGACATCCGTGCGCGCAACATGTTGCAGGCAGTCGACAAGCACATGACATCCACACGCAAAGAAAAGAAATATCGCACAAAGTTGACATGCGCTGTCGCACGAATAAAAGTCGTGAGCGCCACCTGCTGGGCGAGTCCTCGCTTCATCGCGGTGACCTCCTTCTGTAGGTCGCGCCGGTTGTCAAGCAGCGCGTCGTCCTTCGGCAGATTCTCCACCTGGTGGCGAGAACGAGAAACGATTTCAGTTTTTTAGTCGCAGGGCGGCGCGGCGCGGTGAGTGCGAGAGTGTGCGGATAGAGGGCGCTGTGAGGTGGGATGTTCGCAGCGGTTTCGCTCATCTGCTGGTGTCAGCTGAGCATTAGTACCTTGCCATAGTGAACTTTGACCATGCTGCCTAATGGTAAACCCTAACCCTAACACTCACCCTGACCCTCACACCCCGACACTAACCCTAACCCTGATCCTGACCCTAACACTAACCCTGACCCTGACACTAACCCTAACCCTGACCCTGACACTAACCCTGACCCTGACACTAACCTTGACCCTGACCCTGACACTAACCCTAACCCTGACCCTGACCCTAACCCTGACTCTAACCGTGACACTAACCCTG